TATATGTGTATATATATATATATGTATATGTATGTATATATATATATATATATATATATATATATAATGTTTCTCTGGACAACAGGATGTGTGTGCTGTCATAATTTAATTTATCTAACTAGAGAAGTAAACATGAGGGGCTCACAGTTCTCCATAGAGAACGCCCTCTTTCAAAAATACTGGACTCTTTGTCTTCAGAGAGGGTGATCATTAGTTTGGCTGTTGAGGGGCTGGCTTGGTTGGTTGCTTGGCCATGCAGTTATTTTGACCTCCTCAGTAAGTCAAATTGAGAAGCCACTCGTTTATAGCTTTTGGCTGACACTACAGGGGGGAGATAGTGACCAAAAGTTTCACTTGCTAGATCACAACTATAAAATTTCGGAGCCGTGATGACAGAATCCTTGTGGCCGTTGAATGATTTTTTTTTTTGTCTCGTTAACAGAAATAATGAGAGGTAATATTATGAAACAACACGCTCATTTTTGAGCCAGCTTGTAAAATGTACTGATGAAATGGAAGCGCCTGGTAGATTTCTGCCAAGAAGGTGAATGTGATCATTTAGGTAAGACATGACTAAACTCCTCTCGCCTGAACCCCTCTCGCCTGAAGCTGTTCTGTGCATTTTTACAGAAGTTTTTGTGTCCCAACTAGTCAGAACCTCTGCTGACACCATCTGGTGTAACAGCCGAACTGCATCTTTCAAAACCAACGACATAAGCTGGGCTAAAACAGATCTCTGCATCTGGAAGAGGAAAAACAGTGAGTCGTCAGTGAGCACACCCCTCTGTTGTTACAGCCTCCACCCTCCAGCTATTGTTTTGAAATACACTTGCCAAAGGGGGCGGAGGAAGGGGTGGTGGAGGTGGGGGGGGTTATCACCAAAAGGCTAAGGTCTAATTTATTCAGCTGCCTCCCCCCACAGTGAGTGTTTGTATGCTTTGCAATGGGGACGTGTGCCGATGCATCTGTGCCCTCCTAATGGACAACACATTCAATTTCTGACGCTATAAAACATCATGTGATAAACCCGGAGAAATGGAGGAGACTGCCCTTTGCTCTCCTGTGACGTAGAGCCACCCATAAAGTCACTGTCATTTTTACATTGTTCTCCTGAGCAGCTTTGCAAGTGTGTAGCGGAAATGCTGATGATGGGGGGGGGGGGGAGCTCACATCAGCTGGTATCAAACAAAAAGCTTTGTGGTTACAGGACTGCTATGATAGCTAGTCCTCAGTGAAACACTTGACCGTGTGTTGTCACAGCGGGATGGTGGCTCTGACACAGATGTCTCGGTTTAGAAGCGCTGGTCTCTGGGCCGGAGGTGTCCAGAGTTGGAATGTGCTGCCTTGTGGTCCTGGAGACTTTGTTTGGGGGAGGGAGGGTGCACTGCTTCAGACTGCAGGGAAGGAAGGCCCATGTTGAGGTTAACGCAGCAAGTGGTCCTTACATAAACCCACCACATGTCTTCCTCCTTGAATAAAATGTACAGTTTGCTTTGTTTTCCTTGGACACCGAATGACAACAGATTAGTTTAGGGTTTTTTTCCCTCCTCTCTTCTGTCTCTAACATTTCTTATAACTCCTTTAGGCCAAATCTCCTGGTCACTTGACAATCAAATTTGATCCAACCTGCCTGTTTTTTTTTTATTTTATTTTATTTTTTATTACTGATAAAAACACATTCCAGGTAAAGCTCGTGGACATTCTTCTCTCTCACTGTCCAAGATGTGGAAGTGCTCGCTTCAAAGGGAGGAATTTCTTTTCCCCGTGTTGTTTATCGGCCTTTAGATCAAGCAACCGAGTGAGTCGCTTGTTCAGGAATGCAGCTCATTTGCCCCGCTGTCAGCACATCCGTGTGGATGTGTCATATTGTACATCATGTCCAAACTGCAGTCCAGCCTTTTTTTTTTTTTTTTTTAGATCCTCTGTAATTTGACAACTATTCAAATGAGAAGAAAAATGAGCTGACATTTTTAAAGTCCTACTTTGCCTCACATGTTTTGTTCTTTGCATTGCCCTGGGAAAGGGAGGGAGAGGAGGAGGACTGTAGACATGTGGGACGCTGCATGTTGAACTCCAGTACTTACAAAGCACATGAATTCACCAAGTGGATTCAATGTGTCTTGCTTTGGTGTTTCATTTCACTGATATTAGCTTAATGCGACCAATAAAGACATACAGCATTCTCATTTGAGTTTCTATCACTAGTATACAGTTCATGAAAGAAATGAACCAGCTAAATTAGCTTTTCACGCTTCTTTTTGATGTCTTCTACCTAGATTTTACAGGCTAACTGCTTTAAGTTGACTGAGGTGACTGAAAAACATGAGCACATGAAAACTTTTATGCAATAATTCATTTGGTTGCCAAAACACACTGCCAACTCAAGAGTTGTAAAATTTTCTACTGCAGCACAAGGGGACAGGGACAACCGGACAGGTCCAGTTTTTGGCTGGCGGTGAATAATGTCACTCACTGAACTTTTCTATGAGTCGATTAGGCTGAGAGGGGAGGGAGCGGCTGAACTCCGCCCCTTTGTTTTCTCAACATGTGACCCAGCGCGGTTTTAAGACACGCTTGACTCCGACTCAAACAAAAGGCATCCGTGTTTTAACACTCAGTGGAGTTGGACACGGGAACAACTTTGGAGAAGCTTTTGAGGAACGAAAACATGCGCTGCAAAATGAGCTACAGTCTGCCCTCCTCGCCGGTCACTTCGCCGACATATTCAGGACCATATTCAGGACGTGTGGTGTCCTACAGGTCAAGATGCGCCAGGTAATGCACTTTTATATACGGTGTCTGCCATGTGTTTCTACCGTCGGATTAGTTAACTTCCATATGTACTGGTATGGTTAACTGTCTGTGTTATTGCATCTAAACGCTCCCACTCTAAACTCACTCACTCACAAGTGTTGCACTTCTTTATATGGCGGCATTTAACTCACACATGGGCAGCTGAGTGTTTTACGCCACCTCGGACATGGTAGCCATCCAATCTGTTCAATAGACATTTCCCTCTGGTTCTGTTCCGCGCATCAGCTGTTTGGCACCCAGGCCACCTTATTCTCTGTGGTTGATGGTTAGTGTTTGGTGTTTGTTGTAGTCTACGTGCTGTTGCGGGTTGCCCCACCCCCTCCGCGCTGTACGTGCTCCCCAACACGCAGGGACAGTCCATGCTGGATGGAGTAAAGAAGCTCCATATGATTGATGTTGGTCACAGTGTGGTGATGAATAATGCTTACATTTGTGTAGGCCTAGACTGTTTTAAAATGAATCTATAGTACGTTTAACTGTGTTTGCTGGGGTTAGTTCACGCTTTTACGTGTTTCTGCAGTTTTCCCAAGTTGGGTGCACAAGCTACATTACAATTGCGCAAACGACACCTCTTTTATTTATCACGTGAATATATTTCACATGAATGATGTTATATTTATTTTACTGTTGTCCCGCAATAGCTGCAACGTTTGTGTATTTAAGATGGGTCGGCCCATAGTTGAGTAGTTATGTTGGTGGAGTATATCACTTCTCCATAACATGTGTTTTTCTTTGTTTTGTTTTTTTTATTATAAGTGTATCACAAATTTGTTTAAACTCATTTTAAAACGTCCTTAGATCCGGGCTGCACATCATGTTCCCTCTTCTACCCCAGATGTATGTCAGAGCACCGTCTAGCGGTATGGAAACGCGTCGATCCTTTTTCGTCTTTTTTGACATCCACATCCAAGCAGGACTGCGATTGTGCAAGACCCCATTATCTGTACAGACGGATGAAGACCCTTTGTTTGTGTTTCTTTTTTCGTGAGGTAAAGGTAAACTCTGAAACGTATTCTTTTTGACCGGATCGTGCGTAATTAAGTAAGTTGATCATCTTTTATATTAACATTGGGAGGAGTTTCTTTGGGGAGGGTTCGGAGGGATTGATAAACCTGTTAACAAAGTGTGCATCAATAACCGGTGTGAGAGCTTTACATTTCGCCAGAACATACAGAGAGTAGAGAACAATGACATTTTACTAACAATGTAAACCCATCACCGATGGCGCCATCACCCGCACCGACAACACAATTCCTGCAGGAGAGGAGCCAACCCGCCCTTTCTGTAATCTGATTTCATCGCTGTGGAGTCATGGACAGTCTGCGTGAGATTTGTCGGGGCTCCTGCTGCAGATATAATCAGTGAACATTTTAATGAAATGTGTTGGACAAACAGTGCTTCTTTGTTTTTAAATATTAGTTATTTATTATACTATAGGCTCTAATTTTTCATTATGTGTTACAGTGTGTGTATGTGATCATGCTCTGATCTGTGAAACTTCCTCGTGGTCAAGTTTATTTTTGTAGCATAATACACAAATATATTCACGTGACATAGCACAAAAGTCAGTGGAAATATAAGGTGGGATTGTTCGGTAGGTTGGTTGGCTAAACACAAGATTTTTTTTGTGTTCATCCAATTTATCAGTGCATAGTGTCTATAATGAAAGCCAAAGATGACTCAGTAAATTGACATTAGACTGAACATGGAGGGGTGGTGGGTAGGTGTAAGGTCCAGTTTGTGAAGTAGTATTGAAATGTGACTGTTTCCTACTTGCTTGTGATCACTGGAACCATTTAAAGGACCCTTTGTTATGGTCAGGAGCCGTTGACGGGCTCCACAGTGCGACTTGCATTTTCATGTAAATCTCTGGTATGGTAATTAATATAGTCTGACCTGTTTGTTTAAAATCATCCCTCTTTGCCTTTTCAACAGCATTGAACAGTGCTAATCTGACACTTCCGATCAAGTGTACTAAAAATAGTGTGTTTTGAAAAATGATTACATCTCACATCTGTTCATCCCATTCTCTGGAAGCAGGTTTGACTGTTGGATTGTTGTTTTTCCCTCTCAAGTACCAGTGAAATCCTCTGAGGTCATGTTTGGCACTCTATGGATGATATTTGTCAGTTGCTGAATGTGAAAGAGCTGATGTCAATCTAATCTTACTCTTTCTCTCTCTCCAGTGCATCCGGTGCCAGCGTCGTCGCCATCGATAACAAGATTGAGCAGGCAATGGTGAGTTTTCCACAATGTCTTAAATGTGGTTAGGTAACTTTCTCTGCAAGCACGTACAGTGACTTGTCATACAAGTTTTCCCACTGCCTAGGCTAAAGTGACACAACTATCGCAGAGACGCTAAACATGGAACTCACTTGGGAATATTTAATGTAATATCCCATGATTCCCCATAATGTTCGAGTCTTGAAAGCTTCTGCCTTTCCTGTTTCTGAGCTACAAGTTTTACTAGGAAAAAAACACACCAGAAAAGCAAACAAAACACTCAGTATTGCTCATGCAATTTGACAGACAGTTGACCTCTTGGAAAATACACTTGCATAACCCCCACAGCAAAGACACTTACATGCTAAAGGTGTTGCCAAAGCGAGAACACACCGCTTAAAGCTCTGAGATGATATTTGTCCCTTTACTTTGTTTGAGGATGGAATCTGCTGTGTTGGAAAAACTATTTTAAAACTATTTTCCTTTTTTGTGTGTTCTCTTTCAGGATTTGGTGAAGAGCCACCTGATGTATGCTGTTCGCGAGGAGGTAGAGGTGTTGAAGGAGCACATCAAGGAGCTATACGAGAGGAACTCGGTGTTGGAGCGCGAGAATGCCGTGCTGAAGTCGCTGGCCAACTCGGAGCAGCTCGGCCAGCTGTCCGGTCAGCTCAGTCAGGGCAGCAGCACAACGCCGCCGCTGCAGCAGCAACACCCACTCGTCATAAACAACAACACCCTCTTGGCTCACCATGAGGGGGGTCAGAGTGTCCCTCATCAGCCCAATATCACCTCGGCGTGAACCCCCTACCCCCCAAAAACACCCCTCCCACTGACAGGAGTGGAAGATCCTGTTAGTAAAGACAACAACTGCTACCGTCCCCTTAGCTCCTTTTAAAGTAAAAGGCTCTGCGTTCAGTATGCTCCATTTGAGGAAAAATCAACAACAGCGACATCTTTGTTTGCCACCAAGAGCCGTGCTTCAGTGAGTGCATGTTGCAGTCACCGGGCCTTCATATTATTAAGACATTTACCACCATATTCTGTCCCTCTGGTTGGCTGCAAGAAAGCTGAAAAAGGAGGAGGGGCAGGGGAACCGGTGCGCACCATAAAACTGCATGCTATTCTCGTGCAGGAGACTGGGGGCCAAAGGGCACATAGAGCTCGATTTGTTGGGGCAACAAGTGGTGGAAGAAGGCGGTGTATCCCTGTGCTGGGCCAGTGTGGTGAAAAGAGTCCTGTAACATCCAGTGAGGACTGTCCCTCCCATAATCTCCACCCCACATCACTCCAGGCCTGGAAGAGGCCAGAGAGCCGAGGGAGAAGTGGAGGAGAGGATTTGTCCTCCGTGAGTGGAGGAGGACACCGGCGGGCGCCTCGGCTCGAGTTGAGCGAGTCGAAACACAAAGCTTGTGTTGTTTTCTCAGAGCCACCGTACTTTGACATTAATCATAATACTTTTTCTTTAGTTCAGTTTTAGTATTTGCATTTATTTATTTCAGGGCTGCTATTTTCATAATGTAAATGAACAATGTCATGGAGATACTTATAAAAACAAAAAAGAAACCTTTCTCTTTGGTCTTTTGGTATTTTAGAATTTGTCAGGTATTAAATTTGGTAGTTTCACGCAACAAGTAGATCTCAGTAAGTAGGCAATACGTTCCATATATTAAATTCTTCTCATGAAATAGTGCTAACACTAAAGCCGAGCTTACATTAGGTGAAATCCAGGTTGAATGTATATTTTGTAAAGTGTAAAGTATTAAGAGCGAGGAGGGTTTGTACAGGAGAACGCCTGTTAAGATGTGATGAAATGTTTCGATAAAGAAAATGATTAACTTACTTTTTGTAGACTTTTTTTTGTCAACATGAAAAAACAGAAATTAACTTTTGAGGGGTCCGTTGGGTGGATGAAAAGCTGTGAAAATAGTTTGACCTACTTTATAACCAAAGACGCAAAGCTGTGTAAGTGTTTGTTTTTTTTTCTCCCATTTTTAAATGCACACTTTTTTTTTGTTTTTTTTTCCTACTCTCCTTTTGCTAATTTTTTGTTGCTGTTTTGCATGTTCTGCATGATCTATAATCAAACCACTTTCTTACCTCATGTTTTTATCCAGCACTTATTTTTCTGTCAAGTTATCAGTCTGTGAATGATTGTGAAAGGATTAATGAAAGGAAAAAGGGAACAGTTGGCAGAGAGGCTGGAGCAAGTGGTTGAGGGTAAGAATGGGGGGGGGGACAAAACATGGAAGGTGTTTGTGTCCGATTGGGGTGAAGGGCCTTGTGCACAAAACGGTAGTCAGAAAAGGAGCCAACTTTTTGTTTTCATGTAGATGCTGTGTTGAATTACATATGCAGAGGAAAAGGTTGTTACATTGCAGATTTTAATGTATTTAATGAATGCAGCATTTATATTTCGATTGTAGTGTACCAACACTTGGCTTACAAAGAGGAAAAAAAACCAGAATACAGTATCCACAAACTAAATGGAAACTGTCAAACATCTCACACTTAAAAGCTGGAACCCAGTCGATTGTGTGTGAGCTTATTACGGGATGTCCTGTCTGTGTCACGTCTTTTGTGCCTCCTGTGCCGTCGTCTGCTTTTGTCAGGCGAGCCAGTTTCTTTCTCTGTGGCTTAGAAGTAAACCAAAATGCTTGGTAATTGTACAGTCAGACATCTTTCTACTTCTCCAGGATGGATTCTTTGATTTCTCATTCTTTTTCCCCCCCCACGTATGGGCTTATTTCTTCTGTCACTAGCGTTCTTCTCATTTATTTTTTTTGTTTTTTTTTCTTTCGTTTGAAGGAGATGCCGTGTACATGCCAAGTGTACTGTATGAAAGAGATCACTGAGCCTTGGAGAAAATATCTTAACAATGCCCCTGTAATGTGCTGTTCAGACAATGTTAGTTTTCAGTTGGAAATAAATTACTGTTTTATTAAGAAAATGTTTTCATGTTTGTTTGTTTTTTTTTCACCGCCATTTTTAGTGGCCAGGAAAACCACTCGGTATTACACTTTATAAATAATATTCATGAATGTGGGTTTACAAAATACTGAACATTTTCCTTTAGTCACGGATAATTCCTCTTTTCTTAACATATTTTAAATTAATCAGAGAATCACAGAAGCTAAAGTGATTGTAACATGTTTTCAGTCCATGACAATAGGCCCTTTTCACAGCAGAGACTTTATACTTAATATTAACAGTGGTTTTGTTCCATTCAAGTGTCCCTCTAAGCATTGACAGTGTGACGGTGCCAGCATGCACACTACCAGGACCCTGATACTGTAGCAGCTAAATGGATTTCAGCTATTGTTATTTTTATCATTTACACCTGAGCTGTTCGTCCTGTGACGTCAAATTGTTTTCTAGTCCCCAAAGTCCTCCTTTGGAGTTCGGATTGCTTCGTCTCCCAAGTAGGGAAAGAAAGGGTCCCATACTAAATTTAGTAGCCTGTCCTTCAAAATAAATAATCCACTGTAAAGGTATACATTGTCTGTGAGAGAACAGAAGAATTCTAAGCATCTGAACCTTTGAACTGAGAGGAAACGATCCCCAGGATACAGGCAACTGGGTCAAAGATCAAGAGTTATTCCAAGTATTTTATTAATTTCCTGGAGAACATCTGACCAAAATAAAGATATATAGATACATCAAAATATACAATACAATGCTAATCATGTTCCGTCTACAGTCTTAAATTTAGAACAATTCATTTTATAACGTTTCCCTGGGGTGCTATGAAGTCTACTGTATGTTTAATAATACATTGTGTTTCAAGAATTGTATCTAAATAAATGTTTCAGAGGTGTTAAATAGTGTAAATCATAGCACAAAAACCTTATGAAAGGAAAAATAAATCAAACAGGACAACACTAAAAGGAGAAAAACTACTCGTCCATATAAATGACTATGTGAGTAATTAGGTATCCATCTAACTCTGACCACGTCATTGTCACAATCATCTATACAAGAGCTCAAATCCTCTTCTCATTGTTCGTTAGGATGCTTGAAGGAACCATCAAACTAAAAAAACAAAGATTTTTCTTCTGAAGGAGGAATGAAAGTTGACAAGAGGCATGCGGGAAATCTTGAATGACCTCACTCATCACCGACCTGTCACTATAAACATAAAGTAGTGCTGCATACGTCTTCAGAAAGGTGTTCATTTTCAGAGCAGCCCTGGTATGTAACCACAGATTGTATATAAAAAGTATGTAACTCTATGTCCTCCATCTCCCCTAGCTAACGTCCACTGACAACCGATGTAAATTTCACTGCTGAAAATATATCAAAATATAAAATATATCAACTGGTCTCTTTGTTTCTCTGTTTTCTTTTTTAAATAAACCGATTAAATGCCAGGATGCTCTTGTAAAATAGATTTTTAATCTCAATGTGACTTTTTCATGGTTATATAATGGTGGTAATAATAAAAAAAATATCTCTGCTTGACATCTTAAGTGTGTGTCTGTATTTTAAAGTCATGAACTTGCATTAGTCAAAACACATGGTTTTATGGAACAGTTTTTTATAATAAGTCCAATTCTTTGACGCCTTCTTCATGACACCTCTCTACTGTTTGGTGCACTAATCTCTCACTCAGAGCCTGTCTAATGTTTCTGTTCTTTTCCCTATCCAGGCATTGGCATTTGTCACTTCCTACATAAATGGTGGGCCTGGTGTCACAGATGTTCTGCATGCGTCATTCAGTATCCCCTTGTGCAAGTCTGTAGTGGTGAAGATGAAGGTGGGTAATCCACGGCTTTGGGTAATGATCATAGGGACTAAAAACAAAGTGACACAACAAAAAAAATGTTGCAGCTTCAGAGAAAATCATGAAATAATCTTTGACCCTTGGTGATTTTTATCAGTGAGCAGAAGAAAATACAATGGTATGGATGGCCTTACTCATTCCCACCTTCTGTCCCTTTGAATTACAGAGGCTGGTCACATTTTTAAAATTCAGTCACAATCCTACCACCTTCTTACAAGCAAAGCAAGACTTACTAACCCTACTGACCCTCTAAAAATATGTTTTCTTTCTCTCTAAAGGCCTCCATCTTCATAACTTGCATCAGTTTTATAGTACTCATTAATACATTTTTACCTGTAATCTTAGTTACAAATTGCAGTAAAATACAAAAGGTGAATAAAATGCCTCGTTAGCCCATATTGCCCTTAGAAACTTCCTCTGAATTTTAGGGTCAGAGGAACTTCTGCATTTGGTCAGCAGGGCGTTGCACTTATTTGCACTTTGTAGGAAAAAAAACACGAGCTTCCCTGGAACGCTGCTTTCTATGTTTACAGGTGCCACCATGTGGATCCAATTTACTTTTGGAGTTTTACAAAGTCACATGTAATCTGATCAACTGTCTCTTAGTTCCAAATGAAGGTGGAATGGCCCTTCTGGCTTATTTTTATCCCAGTGTGTGAGCTGACTTTTGGATGGCCTTAGATTTTTTATTTAATTTATCTCAGTCGAACATTACACTCCCTGTCCAGGAAGGAAAAAACCTTGTGTTGTGTAACATGAACAAAAGAGACTTTAGATAGCTGTGACACTAGCTGATGGATTTTGTATGACATGAATTCATCCTTTAGGCTAAATAAGGCTTCTCTGACTGTGCTCTACACCACACTTATTTCTCAGTGTTGGATATGTGGTACTCGTCACGTCTGCTTGACCTTCTGAATGCAGTTTGACTTGCTTGCTGCATGTTTACAAAACTACATCATCATTTCTTTTTACTCCTCCATGATGCCAAAACATAAAAGAGCAAACTACAAAGGCTCCAACTCACACATTGTGGCAAACTGAAAACCTGGATCAACCGGCTTGCGTCACTGTGACAACTAATCCAGCTCTTCACCTACTTTCCACTCATCTTGTGTGTTCAAGCTGAGGCAGGTTCCAGCTCTGAGTCACAGAGACACGTCCAGAGTTGTGGAAATAATGGGGTGTGTTGTCCACGTCACCGTGAGCAAATACAGATCAGTAAATGCAATGAATGACAACCGAAAGCTTGAACATTTCCTCTCCCCTGTAAACTTGACAGTACACTTGTCCTGACAAGTCCTGATTCGTAAGACGTATGTAATACGTGTCAGGAGTCAGGACATATCATGTTAGCAGAATAAATTGTGTGTGTTATGCAGTGGTAGAAAGTGGCCAAGTATATTTATTCAATCGCTGTACTTAAATACAATTTTGAGGTACTTACACTTCAGTATTTTCATTTTATGCTACTTTATACTTCTACATTTCAGCAGTAAATATGGTAGTATTACTTCACTACATTTATTTGATAGATACAGTTGCTAATCACTCTTCAGATTTAAATTGCACATACAAAATCTACAATTATAGCAGTAAAATTTGTGTTAATTGGCAAAACAAAAGACCAAAATCAAAATGCTTATTACATGCTAATAGATCAATAATAACAATAATACAAGGATTACATTATAAAACAACACCCTGAAATGGGTCTTTCTTCCTTATTAGTACTTTTAACAACAATACTTCTGTACTTTTACAAATGCCACAATATTTTGATATATTTTCAGAGAGTAAGGAAATAATTCAAAACATTCACTAGTCATAATTTTGCAATTCCCCTGTCTCAGCACCCACTAACTAGATGCTCAAGTGTCAAGTGTCATAGAATGTCACACAGCACAGGGGAAAGGAAGTCTTAACTAATCCAAGTGGTTTGTGTTTTTCGACAGCACTGCTCACAGTGTGTGTATGTGTGTGTGTGTGTGTTATGCGAGGACAATTACTCATCATTCAGCTAGCTGCAGCCACACCTAGCAATTGTTGGGGATTTACTGTGGAGTGTAACACACATGACTCGCCACTGCCATCAAGTGATACAACTGATTCATGGAAACTGGAGTACATGGAATTCACAGAAAAGACTTTGGGGCCATCATGTGGATATGATATGAAAGTGGTCCCTAAGGTGGAGGGAACAGCTAGGGGCTCTCTAACCCCAGGTTAAAGACATTATAGCAGAATTGTTGAATTCACTAGAAATAAACAGTGAATGAACAGAAGTATACTTTCTATTAGTTGAGATTTGTAAATGTGTAGACAAATCTGTAAATGCGTTCCCCGGTCCCCCAGTTTGCAGTTGGCACCTTAGCCTCTGCTCATCAGAGTATGAATTTGTGTGAATCTGGTGACTGTGATGCAGTATAAAGCGCTTTGAGTGGTTGAAAAGTACAGACGATTTACCAATCAATTTTCTTGATGAAACTTGATTATTACAGCATCAACTTGAGGTCAATGAGTGTCAGTATATGTGTCAGAGTAGTGGCTGGAACCCACCTGCCAATTTTGGTGTTTCTTTGTCTTAAGGTTTTTGCGTATCTGCACCAACACTTTTAGCAGATAAAAATTATAATAAGAAATTTTCAGGGTCCAAGCAGGCAATCTTCAACTTAATGACCTCAATAACACATCGCAGCCATGAATTACTATATTGTAGTCAAGTGGGATGTTGTTGCCTGGGGATGTAGGATTCAAATCCTACATCCCTGTATCTACATTGAAGGTGGTGGTCAATCTCCCACCAGCAGGCAGACTTATCCCCACCAGAGATGAGCCCAGTGAAGTGGGAAAGGACACAGGCTTGAGACTGGACACTGATGTTGATGGTCTGAGAGTCAGAGACATGTTTTCCCAGCTTCATGTGCTGCTGCAGGTGGAGTCAGACACGCTCAGCTGGGACAAATCCTGTCCTGTAGCAGAACTGGGATGATGGTGTTAAAAGCAGGGCTGAAATCTACAAACAGGTTCCTGAGGAGTCCAGGAGCTGCAGGATGAAGTGAAGGGCCATGTTTACTGCATCGTCTACGGACCTGTTGGCTCTGTAGGCAAACTGCAGGAGGTCCGGGAGTGGGTCTGTAAAGGATTTGACTGGTGGACTGGGGCTG